AGCGCAGCTACTTGGCCGTTCAGATTAATCTGTTTCCCAGCCTACAACTTGTCCGAGAAGTGGTATAGTGTCTATCGCATGAGCGTTGCTTTCCATTCACTCCGAATGTTGTCTCTGTGACCTCTCCTTTTATTAGGCAGCTCTAACTGAATTTGGTACACGAAGGGTGGACGGCACTTATGCGTCATATTCATATGTTCCATATGGATGCTTCTTGGCTACGATTCCCAAATCACTGACTGCTTTCGTTCGGATCGTTGAATGAACTGTGTCTCGAGGTGGCGTCAGCGATGGATGAGAAGCTACACCTGTTTCGGTGACGCTTTAATCCATAGAATTTTGAACACACCACAATAGTTAACCAATGCTCGTGACCCATGCTGACTGCGTTTCACTTCTTTTTAGGCGGAGCTCCGATTTTTGGGTTCCGCTGAACATTCACTATTAACAGTAACTCTCGTATTGTGTCGGGTTGTTGTGGCATAAGCAGGACGTGTGTGCGCAAAGATATGGGATCTGGAAAAGCATGGCTCGCATCACATGTAATAGTTGTATTCGTACTGTTGCTACGTGCTGCCGGATGCTTGATTGGGGTGCCACTCGAGTATGTGTTCCGCCAATGGATATTGAACGAAACGGAATACACCGTCCCTTTGACCGCAGTAGTCTCAAACTTTGGTTCATCGATGGAACGCACTGATATCCAGTCGGTACCCTTTTTACATGGCATGAGTCCTACCGTCAGTTCGCTACGGTTGCGTGATCGGCCGAGGCGTTTTGTGCGCGTCAGGTTCGCGCCGTTATAACAAAATACAAAATATGTGCACGCTGAGGCTGAGACGGTCGGTCTCGTGCACGAAGGACATTGAATGTGTCAGCTGAAATCCACTGAGTGCCTACTGGCTATTCTCGTATTGTTCGGTCTGCCTCCACTTCTGGCCGCGTGACGTGCTGCGTGTGAGTCATGTACACCGTTCACGTTTTCGGTAGGCTTTACCCCTATTGGAAACTATGACACACTGAGTCCGCTTTAACCAACCCATCAACTGCTACATATTTGACTGTGAATGTTTTTCATGCATGTATTCCGCTGCAATTGAAGGGAGTAATCTAACTAGTGACATATCGTAAACTGTGTCTTCTCTCTGAGTTGACGAAACTTGGTTCCGTACTGGTTTGTTCTGTCCTGCCTGACTACGGTCTGGAGGCGTGTTCTGCTTACTTCCCCTATTAGGATCGGTCATGCAACGATTGACATAACTTGCACGCCTCTCGGTTTTATTCCTTCAGAAGTCTTACTAGAATTGGGATGTGTGGATAAGTCTGCGGGTGGCACAAAATAAGTCACCTACGATCTGCCTGCATGTAGTTGCGTTCCGTGGTTGGACCCAAGCCCTTGAAGCACAAATAGAAACTACTGCTGGCGCCTGTTACAGATGACGCAGAATCTCACTCTTCAAGAGGCAAGTTTCGCCGTTACCGACTGTTAGCCTGCACGCCCTTCAATAAACCTTCCACCTTGACTGCATCTTAGACAGTGGCTCAAGGCTCAAGACACTTGATTTGTTCGGTAATGTGTAACCGCTGAATCACATTCAAAAGACGATCATCAGCTCTTGTTAATGATATCATTTGGAAGTGAATTCAGATGAGTACAAGATAATGACTGCAGTCGGAAACAATTCGCCAACAGAAGTTGCCTCGTTTCGACCACAATTAACTCCTGAGTGGAACCAGAAAACCGGACAGTCGGGAAGGAAGACCGCCATCAAGTCTTTAATTCAGGCGTAGACGGAGCCAGTGGATAAAGCAAGCGATAACTGAACAACTGCGGCACAACAAAGATTGTCGCAGAATGAAACAGAGGTTCCGTGGCAGGATATCGCTAAAAGGCCGGCTAGTGTGCAGAGGGACTTGTAGGCAAAAAGATCTTAGTCTATTGGTCCACACAGTTTCTTTAGAGACTATGTAAAGTGAATATAGGGCGGTAAATGGATGGAGATTGATGGCATAAAGCAGACTATTCAAGTTCAAGGCAGAACCGTTGCACGATCGTCTCTGTTTGTTAATTCTAGCCTGCGATACAGGACATTGAATCTGGCTCTAAACGGTGCAGCAACAAGTATCTAGGGTGTAGATCGAATGGACCCAATGCAGCTCATTCAGTCCTTGGACATATGACTGAAATCCTCGAAGCGTTTGGTGATTCGCAGGTTGCACGCCATAGCAGCTTCGAAGTAAGTTAACCATACAGATCCAATCGGCAGAGATGAGTAGTTGCGTTCCACTCAAGTACCTTAACCTGAAACCAGAATGGTATCTAGATAACCGTCCCATTCAAGTGTGTCCAGAGGCAGTGAAGAGGTTCAGACAGAAACTCCGCTAGTCACTGGTTCGAGCAAGCTTGGCCCTAGGTAATCTCATCTTGTACCTTCTCACATATGGCCACTGGTGGTTGCGTGTGATCAAACCGTTGATACAGTGCGGCACACCCCTGAGGCCTTTACATTCCTGCCTTTAAGTATGTGCTCTTAAACTTCAGATTGTGACTAAATGTCTACCTCTATACATCTTTCCTTCTCCTAGGTCAAATGTTGGGAGGCACCGAGTGCGAACACAAAATTGTAGCGCAAGCCTGAATCAGGCCATAGAGGAACTGGAAGACTATCTGTGCACGCGGTTCCACTAGCTTCTAGACAACTAACGCTGGGATTCGCTTTACTAGTATGACCTTGGATGAATGCAACAACAGTCTGTTTACAGACTTGTGAATAAATATAAATATATTCCAAGTAGTCCTATACCTATTCGTTTCATGATGATTAGATCAATACACTAGGTACAGTGTGGCTAGTGTCTAAGGGTGGTTCAAAACGGAGCGATAACGTTGCCAAGGGTCAGTGTTTTAACTTCGCAGGGAAGAGATCGGCCAAGAGCCGACATAAATAAATAAATAAATGAATTTTTATTCTCGACAACGCGAGGCACACCTTTGCAGGCATGATCATATATAGCGAACACAGTGTGGTCAAATTGTACAAAAGGACATGTTTGGCATAACAGTGTATGTAAGTATATGGGTGTATATATGTATGTAATTGTGTAGGAATGTAGCTTGTGGTTTTGAATGCGCCGCAGAATGTTTTACTGTTTGTTATCGCCAGAAATGTGAGAATAAGCGATTGATTTTCGTGGGTTGGATAGCATTTTCCGAATATCCACGGGCCAGTGACTTTAGTTGGTGGCGAGTCACATCCGCCACGTCGCAGTGTTGTTAAGCAAACATTTGTGGCTTTTTATAGGGAGAACGCTTGCCATGCGAAAACCCACCACGTCCTGGAACACTGCCGCCGAACTATTTGCTGGAACGGGTTAAACCCGAACCACCCAGCTGGCAACACGAGGAGGTTGTTCGGCTAGCTAGCCAAGGGAAAATTCAATGCGATTCCATTCACTTGTCCACAATAGATCCCGTTAAACAAAAGCTGTGCGTAGACAGCACATTATAGCAGTTGTTTCCTTTTATTTTTTGGAAGGAGCTACTCACTCTTACGTTTTCCTAAGTAAAGCAATCACAAGTGGTTTTCCTTTTTTAGTAACACAACCTCATCCCAATGGATGGGTTTCGCGCCATCACTTAACGTTCCAATTGCTGCAATAACCAGCCTCAACAAAGGGCAGGTGCAGCATCTCACATCTATTATGGTGTCAACCCGCACAACGCATTACGGCTCTTTTGACCCTACATGAGGTCTGTTGTCTTTCAACGTAGTGCTGTGGGACGAGCCCTAAGCAACTGTCTCCGTTTGCACCACCGGGTTCGCGTTTCAGTGGGAACACCGTTGTACCGAATAGTAGAGGCATCATGCATTGTGATTTGTACGCGGACCGTCACCCCATCAGTCAAGGCGATGTTTCACCTTTCCTGGGAGCTTGGGACACCGGTACATTGAGCAAAGTCAGCCGTGATCTCACACCACCATTCGCTGGCCGCATTGTTTGCTGATAGCATGCATAACACTTGTATCCGCGGCACCGCTAGCTCACAATTGGACGGACCAGGGCCTCAACTGCCGCACATCCACGAGTACACGTAACCCATCCTCCTGTTGAAGTAAACGCAAAAGGAAATTTTCTGTTTACAAGTGCTATAAGCAGAGTGCCAAAACTAACATGTTATTCTTTCAGTGAGTTTGACTGCAAAAAGAACATTCGAAATATGATGTCAAATGTCATCTACGTGCACCTACTGAAACCGACGAAAGCGGAGAAACAAAACCATGTTTTCCCATTTTTACGTAGTGGGAATATCTGCGAATGCAAGTTTTTGCGGATGACCAACTACTGTAAAGTTGCACGACACACTAAGACAGCAAATAAGTCGAATGAAACCAATGCTTCCACTAGGATTCTAGCGTCCGCCGTCATAATGACAACATCCCCTATGTTGGTCCCTAACTTCATCACTCATCACGCTTATTATTACCCTTACTCGACCCGTTATGCGGCATTTCTATAGTGGTGTAGAGGAGATACACCACGCGGGTACTTATGTCTTTGGAAGGAACGTGGCTACTTAAGGGTTGGAACACTCCACACGGGTAAGTATGCTGCTAAATGTAGCCTAAACGTAACGAGCTTGTTTCGTAACCTTGCGGAAAGGGGTTCGAATCCGCGTAGGGGTGGGCGTCCTCGCGGAATAGTCAGCTCGCTTGCAGCGAACCGCCGTTACAGCGTACAACTGACATATTATTATCACTATTAAATGTAGCAAAATCGTTCGCAACCAGCACTACCTATTTACCTTTTCGCATCGACCCGGAAGGTATGTCCGCTAATGAAGTAAGGAGACGAAATGTGTTGCCGATACCTCCGTGCCAAAACTTAAAGTCATCTAGTCCAGAGGAATGTGTATTTTCGATCTCACGGTTATGCACGCTGATTAACGTCTCTGTGAAACAAAAAGGTTTTTCAAAACGATATTTTCTTTCCTATTGTAGCGCTTCATGGCCGCCATGGGCCCTCCGGGTGGGGGCCGCAATACAGTAACTTCACGCCTGACCCGACACCTTAACGTCCTAGGCGTGAACGAATTCGATGATAGCGCCATGCTCCGCATCTTTACAACGATAGTGGATGCGCACTTCAGCAGGGGGTTCGAACCACAATTCCAGCGATTGGGAAAGGTAAGTGGGTAAATTATTAGTTCAGTACGTCCAATGTTTGCCATGGTGAAAATGTCACCTCCTCTAACTCGCCTTTTACTACCTTCCAGATCATGGTGCAAGCCACTTTAAATGTGTATAAGCAAGCCATCTCAAGCTTCCTGCCCACCCCGGCCAAGTCACACTATGTGTTCAACCTACGTGACTTCGCGAGAGTGATTCGAGGAGTGCAGTTGGTACCTGCGACCCAAATGAACGATCCGGAGAAGCTGATGCGTCTTTGGGTACACGAGGTAAACTAGTGTGGTTTGGTTGGCCATTTGAGCAATGCATCGTCCATCTGTTTCACTTGACACTGAAATATTCAAGCCTACATGATGACGGATTTTCTTAGGGATTGCTCATCGAAGCGTTCATCTGAAAGGCGTTTAGCGAGCTGTTAGCATGTTCATTAATTTCTACCGTACATATCAGTATGAGAGAGGTGATCTGCTCTTTAGGATACGGCCATTATGAGCAGTTTTTGATAACTTAACTCTACCAAAGCAGACTTAACCAAAGATCCTAGATGGAGCCAGAGAATGATGTTCTGAGAGTAGACAGCCTGCATTTCCATTAGGCCCGCGACCTGTACCTTTGCTGGTTCTTCAAGTGGTCTGATTTCCATGCGTGAGTTCGCATACTTCATACTGTTATTTACTGTGTACAGCCACCTGAAATGTGAATTCATTTACGGCCCCATCTTACGCTGAGTACGTTTTTCACAGTGCAACAGACAGATCAACAGAAATAGTGATCTTCGGGCCGCTTTCGGGTAGTCTTTCACCCCTTTATCTGCCTTTTCAATCCACACATTTTCATAAGATCGCTCATAGAGTGCACTGCTTCCGAATTGTCGTTTCTCAGGTTTATCGTGTATTTTACGATCGACTCATTTCGGCTGAAGACGAGGATCGATTTTTCGAAATTGTCCGACAGACGTGCTCGGATTGTTTCCGTACAAATCTGGACAAAGTACTCGGTCATTTGAGCCGTAGTGGCCGCGTCTCGGACGAGGATGTACGCGATCTGCTGTTCGGCAACTACATGCAGGATGACAACACGTACAATGAGGTGAAGGACTTAAAAGAGCTCACCAATCGCATGGAAAGTTATTTAGAGGACTACAATTCTTTGTCTAAAACTCCGATGAATTTGGTGATGTTCAAGTTTGCCATCGAGCACGTGAGCCGCGTCAGCCGAGTACTACAACAAGAGAGTGGACATGCACTCTTAGTCGGTAAGCTATCACAGGGATCAATTATCCTATCTGCTCTGTCACTCACCCCCCCTATTAAGGATCTCGAGCGATGGTTGGATGACTAAAGTGATTCGCAATGAAGATGTGTTCATCAAACAAATTACCAAATGGGAGGAGTGAGCAATGAAAGTATGTTACTTCATCGGTTATTCGTCAATTTCCTCACGCTCTGCGACGGATAAGACAATAAAATAGTCGGCTTAGTGTTGTTTATTTATAAGTGAAGAAAATATGTAAAGTAGAACAATTTTGCTCCCCAGAAGTACATCCTTGTTTACTGTTAGTTCTTCGTATTTATGTGCGATTCCGGTCGAAACGACGTCTTTCCCGTGAGCTCATTATCCAAGATGAACTGACGCACAAACGAATTAAATGGTGGCTATCGTAAAGTTTTAAGTATTCCAAGAACAAACGCGCATTTGTAGATCAACCCAGTAATAGGGAGCCCAGCTGTCAAGAGCAGTAGTATGGAACAATTCACATAGTGGAAAGATGTGTGTGTCATTTGGGGGACAGAGTTTCTTAAATCGACTTGATATTTGTGCTGAACATAATTGCATCTAATCGTTTTCTCACTGAAATGTTTTTTGCTAAGTTTTACTCTATTTGGGACATCAACATCGCAACGTGCTTGCCATTCTTCCTCAGCTAACGTGTCAAACGTGCGGCGTTTGCTAACACGCCTGAGACTCGCATTAAAACGCTGTACTCAATATATATATATATATATATATATATATAATGTATATATATGTATGACAATAAATGTGACCCACGCGACCCCTGAGGGGTCCTCAGTTATCTACTCCTGCTCCTCAGGACGCACACCATGTAATTGGATTAATAGGAGAAATGAGATTTGGGGGCAACATGCGCTAAGCCAATGTGATACCACATATCAGAATTGCAAAGCAATGTGAAACTACCGCAGGTCATTCGTTAGAGCCGACAAGTAGGAATGGCAAGAGACCATGATACTCAAGTTTACGAGTAACACCGAACTGATTTGCAGATATGTGGACGGCAAAAGGAAGGTTAGGCCTGGAATACCACCACACAAGGCGTCCAGTGACCTAACTACTACGGCTGTGAATACCGTGAACGCAATATTATCTGCAGATTGACTCAGTGGCTACAAATACCATGGAACTTTCGTCCTATCAACATCCAAAAATGTCTCTAGATTATCCAGCGCCACCATTATCCCAGCAGCGGTTACAAGCAAATTACAGTCTCTCCGGGAACAGGGTGTCCGTGAAATCGACAGGCTCTGCCCTGAAATATTTAAACCCTTGACCCCACCATAGCAGTACCACTTGCAGCCTTTTTCCATGGTTTGCTTGTCTCCCATACACTCCTATCCGAGTGGAAAAATGGAATTATCACTCCAATCTACAAATGATGTAAGCGATCGGATCCTGCCAACTACCGACCTATTACTCTCCTACCTCTTTTATAAAAAGTGCTGAAATCGGTAATCGCAGATGAACTGACGTGATACTTGGAAAGTCAACAAATAATTTCTGATGAGCAACATGGTTTCCGACGCAGACGATCTTGTCTCACCAATCTGCTGATTACTCGGGGCTTATGGACCAGGGCGGCTGATGAAGGAGTGCCCATAGATGTGATTTACCTGAATTTTTCTAAAGCATTCAACTGAGTCGATCATTTGTTTCTCCACCGAAAGCTTGTTGCCTGCGGTATCAACGGTTCCCTGCTCACCTGATTAGAGGAATACTTACACGACAGAGCAATCAAGGTAAGAGTAGCCGATATTCATCCTGAAAGCCCGTGCGTCTCCAGTGGGGTACCGCAAGGATTCGTTTTCTACCCGCCACTGTGTTTAATCCATATTAATGACCTTTCAGCATCCATTCTATCCCTGACGCAAATATTTACAGACGATGGTACGAGGATCCCTGCTGTTTGTGCTGTTTGTTCTACACTACTGCCATCATCTGGTGATCAGGGGCCATGTCACGTAGTGTAAATATGTCAATGTGTCGTCGAGTCGTTTTTTGAAAGTGATTACATGCGCCTGGAAAGTGTTCTAGTCAGGGCTGTGACACTCGGATGAAGAAAACTTTTCGTCGACATTCTAGTGGGCTGTACTGCGTGGCCAGCTTGGATTGGTGGTCCCTCAGACATGTGTCTTGGCTGTGTTTCAGAAGATGATGGCAAGTGTGGTTGGTTTTTTAACGATCTGATACAACAACGTGAGTTCCAGCCCAACTCAGGCTATCTCCAACTGATGAGTCCCAACCAGGACGAAACCGCGGTCTTGGGGTGCCAGTGTTGGGATGAGCAACACTATAATGTTTCCAACATGTGATCCCCTTGTTGGCACCCAATACCTTCGCTGTACACATTTAGATTTTTCAGCCTGAGTTGTGCAGTCTCGAGTGCGGTGAGGTGGTGCTTCTGCTACGGTTGCCACGCTTGTCATTTGTATGGCTGCACAATAGCTGAGGTGTTTTTCACCTACAACTAACATGTATAATGAATGAATGAATGAGTGAATGTGGTGTATTATCCGTACGATCTCACTTATGCGCCAACTCTTGCAGAAAGCTTGAGGCCTCAAAATTCCCGAACGCCCTACGGATGAGACCGAAGTGCTGAGTTGTTTCCTTTGATGCATTTGCAGTCTGTTTCAAACGGCCAAGGTCATCTTGCACGAGCACGCCTAGATCACACTTATGAAAATCGCGCTGTAGCATTTGTCGTCCCAGTCGGTAGCTGTGAGTACTCTGATGTTGTATGCTCAGAACTCTGCACTTGGTAACCTTGATGCACCATGCATATGCTTGATCCAGATCCTTTTGTAGGGCTGTGTGATTCTCCACTCTAGTGGCAGTAAGCCACGTCTTTACATCATCGGCGAATAGTAGAGAATTTGAAGAAAGCACTCTCGTGAAATCATTTGTGCAGACCGGGGGCAGGCGGGGCCCGAGTACCGAGCCTTGAGGTACGCCACACTAGACTTTAATTAAGTCGGATATTGCTACTACGAACCCCCATCTTCAGTTCAGGTTGAATGAGGAAGTTGCCTATCCAGCCCAGAACGGTACCACTGGTTCCATGATTCTGAAGAATGCGAAGTTTAACGTTTTGATCCAGACGGTCGAATGTTATCGAGAAATCCAGATAAGTGGCATCTACGCTTTCACCAGCATCCACAGGTTCCGGCCAGAATGCACGAGCTACCAGCATGGTAGTAGTGCAAGACAGGTTGGGACGAAACCCGTGCGACTCCAGAACAAGAATTGTGTTACTGTCCAGGTATCTCATGAGCGTTTCAGCGCCAAGGACTCTATGACCTTGAAGATCGCTGGTTTTACATTCCTGTCAATTGTATAGATTTGAGTGATGATCCCGTCCTAATACACTGTAGGTACCTGCTTCCCGTTAACACTTCTTTGAGAATATTGCTGGCAGTTCAGCTAGACATCTGGCAGCCAATTTCAACGTCTTTGAACCAGTAGCGTCTGTTCCAGGCGAGCTGTATTTGCGTAAGCACACCAACCGCTTCAGTACATTCGTGTTGGTAAAGGATATGAGCTTGAACCCTGATGACAGCACAATCTGCGAAGGCAGAATGTGAGGTGACGGTGCATTCTGGTAGGTAAGGTTAAATTCTTGTCCAAGAGCTTTGACTGCTTCTTATACCGTTTGCGCTAGCTCGCATGCTGTGTGCAGAGCAGGAATTCCGCGCTTAACTCCACGAAGTTTGTTCACATGTCTGTAAAGCAACTTTGGGTTAGAGCAAAGGCCTATCACAAGGTCCTATTGGTAGATGGCCGGAACAAAACGCGTCTCTGGGTGTAGCGATGGGAGAGAGCAACACCGACATCTTGTAGTTCTGTTGACACTTTACTCTATTCTCCCGGACGAGTTTGACGCAGTGTTATTCTTTTGTGTTGTATAGACAGCTCAGGTGTCCTCCGTCTGAGAGGACATATGGAAGAGCCAAGCCTGCTCCCTAGGGATGACTTTGTCTTTGTCGAGTGGTGGATTTTGATTTCTGATGCGTTCATTACTAGCCTGTTGAATCGGTTAACTATTTCCTCCCAGGCCAACGGAGATCATAGTGTCCCAGACGTCGGTAAATACAAGTCAATAACTTGTCAGCCTTCCACCGTGTGTGTGTTCATGATACTGAGGACAGTGTAGGAGTCAAAAATCGGAATCCGTACGAATTCAAAAGGAAGTTATGTGCACCACTTCTGGCCTATCAAGGCTCTTGTAGGCGATTGACCCACAGGAGTGATCCTCGAAATGGTGTGATTCTGTGAGAGAACAGGACAGTCTGGCCACCTACGTCCGAAGTTCCTTCCCTCGCCAGCATTCTTGAAGGAGTCGGTGGTGCGTTTTGCTTGCCCGCTGGATTGAGGCTGGTTGATCAGTGGGTGGATGTGATGGATGCAGAAATCCTAACACATCAAAGGCCTGCACTGAGTGCCATTGTTGAACACGTAAAAATTGATAAGCTCATGTGGTTCGGGATTCGTAGGATGTAAACCGACATGCTGGATGTGTTCGTAAGGTTATTGACGTGGACTTCAGAGAGTTTAGTGTAGGCATCAACCAGGACCACGTAAGACAGGCGTCGTACTGGTCAGCATGGTTGATGCCCACGCAAAACCACGGTTGTCAAAACACTGGTGGCTGGGACCGTAGAACTTCGTCTGATCGTTGACAATATGACTAGTGACTAAGCAAGTCTTCAATATCTCTGTTAACGCCACGGTAGTGGGCAAAACTGCTAACGATCGGCTTAATTCTGTTGTTGTCATGGTGAGCGGATAAGAAACGAGGACACATGGTCTGTTGAAGACATGCAAGAGCTGTGTCTCAATCGACAGTGACTGGACAGGGGTTGCCCACTGTGGTATTTACCTGAGTTTGCCAGATGGAACAATAGTGGATCCACTTGTTTAGATCTAAAGACAGGGTCTTTTGCGGTCTCACGACATGTGTATGCGATGGTGGCAGGAAGACCAAGTGTAGTGCTCGAGTTGTGATGACAACCATCATTTTTGACGCTTGGGCTCTTCATGAAGAAGTGACATCAGGTTGTACAAGCTAACAGAGATGACTTGCACTGCATTTCTCACAAATATCGCTAACTCACCCAAAATTCGGTGTACGTCAGAAAGAATCAGTCGATATAGTAGGTAGATGCCAACGTCGCTTTTTCACAGCTCTGCCAACTCCCGTTCAACTGGTTCCACACCCGCAGGTAAGTGGATCCGCACGACACTGTCCCTAGTTAGTGAGATTAGAACTGAGTAGACAAAGCCGTCGAAGATTACTAGGAGAAAATGACGACTTTATCTAGACAAAGGAAAAAAGCACAAAATTACTGACATCACGCTGTTACCCTCCATCAACAAACTGCCTCTTATGTACCTAGATGCGGACGTTAGCTGAGAAGCTACTTACCTAATATTAAGACCTGTCGTCTAGTCTCACGTAGGCCGAAACTGAACACTATTGATGTCCCGTCACGCAGATATTTTGAGCACATACCAAGGAACCACCTTTTCGTATTATATCTTTTAACTTGTATCTTGCAGTCGCGCACTGTGATAAGAACGAGCATAGGCAATGTGCTGGCCTGCATATACATTAGTCCTGAAAGAGATTGATGATACCAACCATCTGTAGCGATTACTGAGGCAGTTTCTCCCACACTAGAGTATTAGAGCTGTATTTTCATTAATATTGTTACCAATAGTCCAACTGAGGAGACAGAGCGCGGTAACTGCAACACTAACCGCACTCACAATACAACGCACCACATTCTCTTGAGTGCGTAATGCATGACATATTACATCATGCTCCACGTGCTCTTGAATATCGCTTTCACAGGCGTTGGAGGAAGTGGACGCCAGAGTGCCACCAAGCTCGCCACACACATCAACGATCACGACTTGTTCGTGATCGAGATCACTCGGAGTTACGGAGTGAATGAATGGCGTGAAGACTTGAAGCGTCTCCTCCTTAAAACCGGTTGTGACGGTCGATCGACGGTGTTCCTTATCAGTGACACACAGCTGAAGCATGAGTCATTCATGGAAGACATATCAATGCTGCTGAACTCCGGAGACGTGCCTAACCTCTTCCCACCAGATGAGAAAGCGGAACTGATTGACAAGATACAGGTTCATGCCAGAAATGAGGTGAGAAAGTTCAAGCGTTATCTATTTCATGTTTTGTGCTGACCAGTTATTATGACAATGTCATTTTGCTAGTTAACAATCAGGGCATTTGAGAATATGATCCCGTAAATCGCTCTTCGGTCCAGTGAATGTGCAGTCAAAACTACTGGGCTTCTTATCTTAACACGTGATCATGCATGTCGTCGTGTATGCGACAGCGCGGAGTTGTTCCCTTTCTTACCCCTTACATTTATCCTCGGTTTCTAACCACTATGTACCCGTTTATTTTGCAACTACAGGAAAATCAAACGGTAGGTTAATCACAATTTGCCGTTGTTTGCCGTAGTTTGGCCTGTGTGATTGGTGTGTGATCATGCTACATCTAACCGGTGCTCATCTTATGGTAGGAATCGAACACACCACTCATGCTCACTCACCTACCGTCCAAGTGGAGAATGAGTGTGGATCAGACTACTAGTGGGGATTGTATGGCCTCTTCAGACTGTCACAGTTATCTGCTTTTGACGAAACGTGTTTAATTGCCACTAGTCTGGCTGTTTGGATTTTGCTTGGTCATCTAACTCAAATTATCTTCGCTACTGGGCTCCATACGAAATGTTCAAAGTCCGTGGCCCAATCGACTCATCCTCCTCTGCTAAACAACACACAAGTCAAGTCAAAAGAAGCTTTTTGTGAATGATGAGGGGTTCATTAACAGCGCAACTGTTTTCTAACCCAGTGACCGAAAAGGTCAAAATATCTGATGGTGGCTTCAGTTTTGTCCGCGCCACTTCATTGTCAATGAACAATGATCTATAACAGACAAAAAAGCCATTGCTTGGCAGGTCTGTAGGATGACCGGAGTGGGGATTATAAACTGACGGTTTAACTTGACAGGAACACAGGAAAAATTTTGGTTTGAGGCGACTCATCAGTTTACTCACATGAATGCATGTGCTGATCAGCTCAGCGCCACGTAACGCAGAGGGCTGGTGGGCAAACTGTTCAGGTTAATTCGTCTTTCCATGGAAACGTACTGTCACATCATGTAAATGGGATATAGTCCAATCGGTGTTAAAGAAGCGTTAATGTTGCGGGCGGAAAGAACGTCAGAGAGAAGAGCGTTCCACGTTCTGTATACCCGAGGAGAGAAACAGTTTGATCAGCAAGCAAGTCAACTGTGGTGTGTGGTCAAATTGAGCTGGTGGCCTCTCAGGTTGGTATTCTGGGGCTGACTTGCAACAGATCGAGTAAAGCTTGCGACTTGACGGGATAAGGTGATACATTGGCATTTGGCTGCGATACCTAGAAAATTTCTGGAAAATTGTAGATTAGCACACGCAAGCATCCTGGTACGAAACAGGGACATCTGCAAATCACTATCCCTTTCTAAGCCTAGAAGTGAAGGCTGATGCGGAAGCTGGGATGTTTCGAAAAGAATTCGTGACCTGACGGCAACAGTTGAATGCCCCCTGTATAACCCGTCTGTCCTGGACACTGCTACAAACTAAGAATAAGCGGACGGAAGACAACTCACAATATCCGCACACGACCTTACAATGTACTCGGTACTAACCAATTAGCTGGGCTAGGAGGTTCACACTTGAACAATTAGTGTTCGGTTTATTTTTACAGGGATTTATACTCATGTGGTTAGTGTTGTACACTGCGTTCGCCGTTGGTTGTGGGTTACCTGGTTCCCTTGGAGCACAACATCTGAGAGGATATTATGGACGAGTGCCGAGTCACATAGAGCAACAGAATGCTTATGTCTTCAAAAAGTATGCGCCATTGCTTTACAAGCTTCCTGCTGAAACATAAGCACAGTTTATCGGAACATTTAACGTCGGAACCGAGTTCCAGTGCTATTTAATAATTTATGGGATAGCAAACAAAACTCCAACTTCAGCGTTCTGCAATCACTGTACGAGCAACCAAATCGAAGCCCAACCCGTTCACAAGAACACTAGAACACTGGGGCTGAACACAAGGATGACAATGGCGACTAAACAGCACACTATATGGGGTTAGGCGATCCAGTTCAGAAGGCCTAGAGGACGGCCCCAAAGGGGAATGATGAAAGTGTAAAGAGGATAGGTTAAAACTCCTTAAAGGAGTGGGAACGGAGTTAGGACTTGCGATGTTCCATTAAACACGAGAGGCGCGGTTGAGATGCAATAAGGAAACGGTCCACTAGGTAGGAGTGTGCTTGTGGAGTAGTGTTTGGGTAACTACAATGCGATGGGGGCCTGACTGCAATTGGGGCTGAACTAGGGACAGCAAAAAGCACAATGTACTACCGTGCGACAATGTGTTTGCGATGGGACGTAGTTTAGATGGGTAACAAAGTACGAATTGTTCGACCGACAGATTTCTTGGGAAGATGACGTATTCCGTTGTGAGCGTCTATGGGTAAGCTTGTAGAGCTTGGTTGGAATATGCTGGTTCTCAGTCAGACTACATTTCTAATCTGAAGATCGCAGGTGGGTGGGCTGCTTTCAGTGGAAGGTTCTTTGTGTCTAAACCGAATTCCAATCGAAGGTTATGTCATATTTGATAGAAATAAAAGACCCGAGTGTCGCTCCTATGCCAAAAAATGGTTAGTCATTGAATTAAGTACAGTAAAACCTCCACAATTGACCACCACTATATGTTGACCACCTCTCTAAGTTGACCACTTTTTATGGCTTGGACGGTCACTGTGTAAATTCTATGGAACCAGACGTCCGTATGTCGACCAGCTCTGCAAGAATTTCAGAGCACAGGAGGCGCATTTCAAGAAACGAGTTTGTATACCAGGCAATAGTAAGAGACTCGGCCGTGGCAGTGCATACATTAGACGTGGGTCACCAGATAGACTTGGAAAATGTAGGGGTCATTAGGAGGGGTATGCGATCAACAACTCAGCGATTGAGTGCCGAGGTGGTGGAAATTGCCAAATCTGACGACTGCGTGAACAGAATGGAGGGGGTGGAACTCACAGTGCATGCCTAGCGATCTTAAGCAGGCCAGCCTGACGAGCATCGGTAAAAAAATAAAGAATGTGTCAGCTGTACGCCGTAACGGTGCTTCGCTGCCGCGCAACCATCACCGGTCGCGCGCAGGCTGAGTATACCGCGAGGACGCCCACCCCTACGCGGATTCGAACCGGTGACTTTAAGGTTACAAAGCAAACGTGCAGACCACTCGGCCACCAGGCCGACGACGAGTATCGGTACGTGGATCAGATAGGAAAGTGCAAACCGACACCCATTGTTAACACTAAGGACTTATCCGTCAATGCCATGACGCACAAGGGAACACCTGGACTACTCCCACTGTGATTGAACCACCTGAGGTGACATCACGAACTGGGACTGGAATGACACCTTGGCTCAGTTCTCTGGTAATGCGGTTATCGTCCCTGTTCGCTTTAAAATCCCACTCCAATTGCGCACTAATTCACCTGGTCTGACGAAGCTCTCATGTCAAGGGCTAAACGTTGCCCAACTACTATACCAACCGACTGTTTCCAAACCTCTTTGAACTCATGACTACTCGATCGGTTCCAAGTATCTCTCAAGAATTCGAAACCTCTGTAAGTTGTATATTGACCACTTGGGTTTTGACAGTCAGTACTAATTCAACCTCGATAAGTTGACCATTTGAGGGCTTACCATCCACTGGTTCCCGAATGGCTCTTTTGTTCCGATAACACAGCGTGCAGCGGGAATGCTATGCCTGGACTTCGGACTTTGCATCTGAGTATACGGCGTGTTCTCTGTGTGTATGTGTATGTGCGTGTTTATCCCGGAATTCAGCGTTTACGCGCACGCGTATTACCCAGATCAGTGTGGGTCTACACAGATCCGCGCCCACGGAATGACCTAGGACGATTAGTGCTCAACACAAGCAAGCCTTCGTCTAGCCCTAAGAAGGTGTCCACTTATTGCACAGGCTGCAGTCAGGAGTTTGAGTGACTGAAACACACGATTAACCACCAGGTCTAAGCATCAGTTCATCAGCACCTTAGATTGTGGCGAGATTGACGTTTACGCCCACATTAGTTGTCCAGCGTTTATCCGGCTCTATTTGGTGTCGGCCTGAGGGTGAAACCAATTCAGATTAGTTATGGTAATGCAATTAATGTTACGCAAATAGAACCGTAGATCTTAGGTCTGCTTGGGGCTTTGAACACATTAGGATCGGTCATTACGAGTAATTCCACATTATGACCCAAAGAAAAAACCTCAGAGAGTTAACCTTGAAGGAGAAGATTAGTCTACTACATTTTCTGGAAAGCAGTGGCCAAAGAAAGACGGCAGAGGATTCTGCTTAGCAATATCCAAAAACGAACACGAGTACTTGGAGAGATCCGATAATGAAAGAGGAAATCAGCAGTGGAAGAGGCGGAAAACTTCACACGATGAAGTCAATGAGGCTGCGCTGCGCTGGTTCAAACAAATGAGGGCAGCTAACGCTCGAATTTCTGAGCCGATGATTCATGAAATTGCTAAAAGTTTCTCACAAGAATTTGGGGTTGCAGATTTCCAGGCATCCAATAGTTGGCTAGAGAAGTTTAAGCGCCCACATGAACTTTCCCAAAGAGACTTGTATAGTGAATGCAATGAAGTGCCTGAGGAATTTGTTCAAGGCTTCATCGAATAATCTTCTAACCAACATGAGCTTCAACAATGTCGACATTTTTAACGCTGACGATTGCGCTCTGTTTTACTAGGCGATGTCTAACAGAAGCGTTGTCATAAAAAGAGTGAATGTAAGAGTGGGAAACATTCCAAAGAACGTTTCACAGTTCTGTTGTGGGCCAGCTCATGTGGGGAGAAGCTAAAGCTCTTAGTCATTGGTTAATCAGCTAGACCACGTGCGTCCGAAAATCCAAATCCTGATGACCTTTCAGTTACCTTGAGATCAAACCCATCTGCGTGGATGACTGCTGTCATATTTGTAGAGTGGATCAGAAGAATCGATAAGGGAATGATGAAGAAACCCTTCATTATCCTGACAGTGGACAACTGTCCTAGTCACACCCATGAAATCACAAATTCAACCTCTGGACCACGGGATCATTAAACTGTAAAATTGCACTACCGAGCCCAGCTCATGCAATGGGCTATGGTAGAATTGCATACTATTGATTCAAATGTGCAAGAAACTTCTTCTGTTGCTTCAGTTAATACCTTGGCTGCTGTGCTTTGGATAAGTTCCACTTGGTTCCAAGTTCAACCAGAAATTATACCAAGTGTTTCAGAGAAGCCGGATTTGTTCGAGCTGTCGAGCGGGATGCCGTCGCCTTACTAAACACTCCATCTCAGTTGGTAGCATTGGACAGGGCAGAATTTAAAGAGTTTGTTGAAATGGATGATGACATGGTAAGTTGCACTGAACCAGATGCTATTTTCATGAGATACTGGTTGCGGTACTCCCCTACGGCAACAAAGAGCAAACAACTGATCTTGTTGATGATGAAGAAGAAGGACCGGGTGACGATGATTTGGAAATCACAGAAACTTCAAAGGAAGATGACGTCAAACATCTCTTAATGCACCTGAAATAAGTTGCTGTGGAAAAATATCCAAACATGCTGAGTAACGTAGCTTGTGCTGAAAGTGTTTTCTTTACTTACGTTTGTAATAAGAGAAAGAAATAGACAAGGATTGACTTTTTCTTTAAAAATGGATTTAACTTGCAACATGCACACTGCGTTTTGTTTTCTTATAACAGTGTATGCTTGAACTGCGTTTGCCGTTACGTGGCACATGGTCTAATGTGTTCGAAATGGGTTTGTGTGAAATTAATTTTCTGCTATACTACTCACAACGGGAACGTAGGTTCCGATAAGTTTTAGCATAGAACCTCCGTATGTTGACCACCTTTATATGTTGACCACTTTGGCCCAGTCCCTTGGGTGGTCAACTTACGGTTCTACTGTAGTTCGGTAGCGGCTGATGTGGGACAACTAACCGCTGCTTTGTTTACTGCATAACCTGATTGTGAGACTAAGAACTTTCATCATGATAATCACCCTTTGTTTCCCTTCACACTCCCTTTCGGTAGGGTCGCAAAATCGATTCCACACCCTTGGCTATGTACACCTACTTCACTGAAAGGGTTCGAAAGCATTTACACATTGTGTTAGCAATGAGCCCTATTGGCGACGCTTTCCGATCTCGTCTTCGTATGTTCCCTTCGTTGATCAACTGCTGCACCATCGATTGGTTCCACGTAAGTCTTTGCTTATATTTATTTATATTTAACACGGCCAATAGTACGATTGGCATAGTGTCACAACGTATGTAAAATACAATAAACATAAGAAGATAGAGGGAAAAATCCGGTGTTCATGGGGATAGGGAGTCAAAACAAGTCCGCCATTGCGCACGATTTCTTGCCATTTCCGAGAGCGTTTTCAGTCATGTGTGTTCCGGATCCTTCACACTCCATGCAGGGAGCCGAGAGCGCCCGACCACGGCTAACTTTGACGTTAGCTTCTTCATGCTTCTGGCACAAGTCATACGTTGGCCAGCTTGCTTTCGTTTTCAACGGACTTCTGCTTGAGCGAAGATGGCACGGCGAGGTAAGCGATGAGTAAGCACGCGGAAAACGTGCCCAAGCCACTGAAGCATGCGCACAGAAATTATGCTGCTCAGTGGCTGGCAAAGTCTGTCTGATCTGAAAATCGTTCGTCGAATATCTTCATTCCTAGTGTGATGCTGCCATCGTACACCAGCAATGCTCCGAAGGCAGTGGTGATTCAAAAACGGAAAGCCTCTCAACATCCTATGCGCGAATAGGCCAAGTCTCGCAGCCATAGAGCAGAACCGCTCTCACTGTGGCATTGTAAACTCGGCCCTTCAGAGCTAGACTCAAATCAGCTCGACGCCAGAGATGGCAGAGATTGGCAAAAGTAACCCGAGCTTCTGAGACGCGCAAAAAGAGCTTTCCTGCAGTTATTTGCAACCCATATATGATAGGCGCCCATAAAGGTTTGACTGCAACATGAGTAGGAAATCCACTTTAGACCAATGATGTACAATTTGGTGACACGAACAAAAATATTTGTTGCTTTATATCAGATATTTACCGTCACATGATTGAGCAAATCTGCGCGTTGCAATTGTATATCCTGCGCTACCATACCTGCTAATCTGAGGTCTGGTATCAATGTGGCTATTCGACTTCGCGTTTTGTGCGCCCGAAACGCATTTCAAGCCGACCGACGCTGATAACATTTCTCGATCCTAGCAACTGCACTTCGACAACAGAAGTCGTTAAACTGCACATATACTTCAGAACATACTTCATGAGTCGACGTCACTTCACGTCTCAGACGTGGATTTATTTCGTTCGTTAACATCATCTTTGCAGAACTACCGTAAGGGCTGCTCCAATACAGCAGCCTAAAATGGCCTCTTCTAGTTCGAGAACGTGAGATGACTTCAAGCCCTTGATCATCATTACATGAAGAATACTGCAGGTGTCTGGTGGCGCCGGGGTGTCCGCCGCGTTGAGCTGCGCCTACGACTGTCAGTCTATGGTGGCCGGTCAAGTTGCGTAGGTCAGGAAATTGAAATAAACATATTCCGATAGCCTAGACGCTCGCAACTTATGCTTGTCTGGAAGTTACCGAGAATGGTCTTGTTGTTTCGGCCGGATGATGTAAGCCTCGGGATGCACAGCCGTCAAATCGGTGGTGGAAAATTAAGTCACTGATACGCAAGCTGCCACAAGCAAGCTGATACGCAAGCTGATAAGTACTGCCATTTCATCTCGTATCCCAGCCTGCTATCCTCTTGACCCACTCTACGTCTGGATGGGAGATTTGACCCATCAATCTTCCCAATGATGCACAATTCCTACGTACGCCCGCATGTTGAATACGCTATCCAAGCTTGGCAACCTTGGTTGAAGCGCGACCTAGAAGCGATAGAGGCACCACGACGAAGAGCAACAAAGAATGTAAAGGGCCTGCGCTATCACTCTTACCACCGAAGACTGAAGTTGCTGGGAACTTCCAGCGGACGCTATCGAAGGCTGCGCGGCGATCTCATATTAGCGTATCAGATACAGAGTGACGCCCAACCACGTATGCCGCCATTTGCTGAAACTTAGCCACAACACGCAGCTCAGGGGCAACTGCTTATTGTTGAAGGAACAATACTGCCGTCTAGAGTGTCGACGGAATTACTTTTCCCTTCGGGTTTGCCAACGCTGGAACGCACTCCCAGACTCAGTTGTATCCTCTTCTACCTTGGACGTTTTCAAAAAACGATTAGATGTTGCTCTTAACTCCCAGCACTTTGTTACCTAAACTCTTCTATTGTGGATTACGCCAAATATTCTTTTCAACAGAATTTATGTATCAAATGGACCTAAGTGAGCGACCATATTTTACTTTTCTCACTCCTTACCTCAACAACCACTGCACCCCAGTGTCTTGCTGAACGTTCACGTTCGATAATTGTTTGGTTTAACACCGAAGTCAATTATCAAACTATTCATCTAGGCAGACGTTCGGTAGATGACCCAGATATATTTTGAGTTCATCGTATTCATCGCAACCATCCTACGGGACGTATCAAACACTTGCTTTTATCCCGTGATAAATCATTGTTCATTGTTCATCATAGGACATCGCCGGTAGTCATTATCAGCGGTAAGTTTGCTGCCATTTCATGGCGGAACTGCTACCTCCTTTAAGAGTGACTAATGCTGGGCTGTGGTAGAATTGTGGTTGCGCTTGGATAGGCGCAACTGGTCTGAGCAAGAAGTGTGCAATAGGTGCTTAGTGTTATCCCAGCTAATGACAAAGGGTTATTGGCAACGTACTCGTAGACTGCAAGTTACTTTCCAACAACCTACGTTAGCGAAATGGCGTTCATTACAATTAGGCCTTGCAAATAGGCCTTGAGAATGCATTCCTTAAAAGCTATACCGCCTAAAGACTACTCGCTGCCGCGTAGCCCATTCTGTCGTCTCAGTCTTGATCGCCGTTGCGGGAAACAAGTGTGGTTATCCTGCCTAATTTGTTTCAGGCTGAACAATGAGCGTTCATTCCAACATACTCACTGATGAGGCAATATTCCATTAGCACGGCAATGAGAAGCTGCATTTCTAGGCACTATCTAGTCCTCACGGATACAGTGAGTCACGTATTGCACAGCGCGAAGTTCATTGGCTCGAAAAAATGAATGACAAATCGTGGGACACATCACACGCATGTGGGTTCTCACGCATATTGTGCACCACAAGCCCATTATCCCTGTGATAACTTTTCTGACACACTATGCTTCAAACTTTGAATATCAAATTCCATAGGATCGATAAGCCACGCTTCCACAGTCTGTATTCTTATTGATAGGTTGTTGGACCATCTTTCTTTCCCCTTTGTGTGACCGATATGGTACTGTTTGGAAGCACTCATCCTACGCCAGAAAGTGTACGCCAGTGAACAGGATACAAGTACAAAACCGCGTAGCCTATTCTCACATCAGCATCTCGTTCACATTCTCCCCGTATTCCTTAAGCATGATCATGAAGCACAAGTATTACCATTATGAACCAACTTACATAGAAGTGGTCAGTATAAGCGCTGTCGAATTAGCTTTGTTCGGGGATTGCATTCTGACCCTACGCACCTTTGGCACCATTTTCCCGTGCACCAAGGTAGTTCAGAAATCAGTGATAACGGTAAATATGTATAATAACATAAACAACATAAAACAGTGATATGTCCGTCAACGACGAAGACGCTCAACGTGCCCGCTGGCGTTCTGCTTGTACTGCGGAAATCGCCTGAGGCAATAGGCTATAACTTTTTGCAAAATTTCCGTGTTAATGGCGCGACATTAGTGGACAATACTGCCTTTCAGTTGTTTCAGTAAAACAGACGTTTTATTGTAAGCTCTTTATTTCAAATAACGTTTACACAAATGCGACTCATGACGCGAAGGTGTTGTTGATCATACGGTGTAACGTTATCTGAAATGTTGGCCTTTATGTTTTGTGTCGAACAATCAGCCATGCCGCCCCTGTCACCCCACCCAGGGCGGGCCACAACCCCACCCCCTTGCTATGCTTCTGGGCGTTAACTCTGGCCAGCCAACCGCAACATTTCACATCTTCCTTGAAGGATCTCGGCGTATTTTGACACTAAGATTTGAGGTGCGTGCAGAACACGTGCAAGCTGTTTGGAAACGAAATGTGCATGCTTGGGCCGTTCAAACCTAGCTTCTGCATTTGGCATGAAGAGATTACGACTCGCCTCTTCTCCTCCATCATAAGATCGACGCTCGTGTACGGATCACCCGCCTATTGTGCGATCACTCCTGGCGAGGTGCAAAAACTGACACGTGTTGAGCACGTGGCTACCAGACTCATCCCCAGTTTACAGCATATTTCATGCGAAGACCGATGCAGTAGACTGGGTATGTATACCCTGTGATTTCGTCGTTTTAAGGTTGACCTCACTATGAAGCACCAGATATTGCAGCTGGGTCACTTCCCCATGCTGCGGACACTTCATCACATACGCACACGGCGGTGTTCCACCAGTCTGTATTTCAAATAGTTATAAAGAAGGACTTCTTATAAAATTATTAGTGTAAAAACACACTTAACTGACATTTAAAAAGTGGGCAACATGTTAGCACATTGACTTTTTCCTTCAAGTCATTGAGCACGTAAGATAGTTGTTTTAATTAACGCTTTTTGAGATTTTGTATACAAGGGTTAAATTTCGGTTTTCGGTCATATTTTCTAGCTGTTTGCTGTGGAGCGCAACATAGATGCTTAGTAAGTGACTTGCAACCATATACGTCCAAATCTTCCACGTTGGCAACAGTTCATTCATCAAAACCTTCCATTTTTACCATTTCTCACCCATCGCAATGAAGCACTTATTTGCGTTCACACACGAAATTGTCTTCTCTTAGTTCAATGCATACTGAACAATTGTGAATGTAGTAGTTCCATAAGGTAAGTTTTTCATTTGTTTATTGCAGGATAGGTGACATCAAACCTGTATGTCAAGGGAATTATTCTTTTCTCGTCCATTATTTAAATTTGCATTTTCGTGCTACAGACTGGTGGAACGGTACCTGCGCGCACTAAGAAGCATTCCAGGGCACCGATACAAATGTGTAGTGCCGGACGTGAAGCGCATAACTTGCACTCTATGCTTCGAGCGTCGAGTGGTGAAATCCTGGAACAGTTTGCCCGAGAGAATATTGGAAGCCAAAATCGGTGTTGGGATTCAAGTAATTCCTAGATGCCCAGCTTGCGGATTACAGCCTTATGAGGCGCATCGCACCCGAATGGCATATACTGCAGTTGAAATATACTACAAACACGCAAGAGGCAAAGCCACACTTCTGCGCACGTCTCCGATCTAATTACGATGGAGCAACACAGATGTAAATCTACAAGCTATTTTCAATATTCATTATTCACTGAATCACCACCGCGTAGCGAGTGCCCGGGTCGGCATACCAACGTGATGGTTGCCGCGGAGATCACTCTCGATTGTCCTGAGCAACGCTTATGCTGGCGGCGAGATTGTGCATCACACTGCATCATAACGGACATCGAAAACATGCGAAACTCATGGTTTATGAGTCTTACAAACGCGCCCGTGCTCCGGATCGCGTGACAGGCTAGGCATTTGTTTGCTTCAATGATTTTCCCATTTGTGAGCTGGGGTCTCGGTGCGATACGCTTCGGACATGATTCGTGCCCCCACTGATTTATACCGATGTTGCACAGTGCCCGCAGCACTCTAAGCACACCCATGATTCGGACCCTAGCCCCATCTGAGTTTACTCCTTTCCATTTAAATGCAGGTTTGGCCCGAGGATGCATTGGAAATGGTAGCCAACAAGAATTTTGAAGAGATCGAGTTCGCTGACAACACCCGAGAATCGTCCGTGTATATGTGTAAATATTTTCACGAAAGTGTGCGGAAATTATCGGATCGGTAAGTGTACCGTAGTTTAGCGTCGGCCAAAATTCTCAGTTAGATGTTAGATCAAGCGGTTGGTGCAGTGTTATTGGCAAGCCATAACGTATCCGAATTAGCTTCCCTAGAAATTGCGACCTACGGAGCTCCTCGCTTGTCACAGAATTGCACTCAGTCGAGTAAGAAAGGTTCAAAAAACCCACGTTGTGCGGGTCATTTGGTAGTGCTCGTTGTGCGAACGGATTGCAACCCGTAGTCATTTGTTGGATCATATTCATCAGTCCTTCCAATAACTAGGACCGTTTTCTAAGCGCATACTAGCCAGCTTACTGAGGGCACTGCATTTCACGATCAGGTTCGCACCTGTTTGAAGTTTGAATTCAGCTATAGCTGGGCAGATACTCAAATGTAGTTTTTAGCCAGCCCTGCTAGCTTAACTAGAACAGTACAAGTAAAAGTAAAGCCAATTGCAGATTACAGCGCCAAAACCAAATAGTACACAATATTTGGCTCAATATTCTTTTTGTATTCCTCTACTATTATGAGATGTTTCTAATGTATACCACCGACACCGAAACACGTTGCTTGAGTTTTGGTCGGTTGAAACATTAATGGACATTTTAGTGACATTTATTCAAACCAAATTCTTTTTCATCGCTGCATTTTTAGATTCTTGGAAACGCTTCGGAGGCACAGTTATGTGACTCCTACCTCCTATTTGGAGATGATACTGACGTTCAAGAAGTTGTTGACCAAGAAGCGGTCTCAGCTGACCACTAAGCGTAATCGTTACCTGACTGGATTGCAGAAATTGGAATTCGCCGCCGGCGAAGTGGGAAAAATGCAAACTGAATTGCGTAACTTACAACCTTTGTTGATGGAGACCAGTGCTGAGACCGATGTGTTGCTAAGGAAGATAGCGCAAGACTCCGTGGAGGTTGAGGCACAAAGAGAGATTGTAGCTGCTGACCAATTGGTTGCGAATCAAGCGGCTGCTGCATCTAAAGCGATCAAAGATGAGTGTGAAGCGGATTTGGCGGAGGCTATGCCGATTCTGAAGGACGCATTGGCCTCACTGGATACATTGAAGCAAAGTGTAAGCTACTTTCTGACTGTTGATAACTTAGGATGATTCATTTCGAATGACCATACTGAGTCAAGGGGCACACAGCGCAAAATGGCTTTCGCTTGATATAACAGACGAGCATTAACTGTTGGGAAGAGTCTTGACTAAATATCTAGACAAACATGCAAGCCACTTCATTGCACCGTCTGTTTTATAGCATTGCCAGATTCCACAGTATTAACCTTCCCAGCCTTTTTCTTGCCTTGGAGGAATGTCAGTAATTTCGTTCGTTCAAGTCAAAAATCAAGGTAAGCTTTAGCTACTCGGATGGATTCATTTTCAACACTTTACAGTATCCACTACGGATGAAGTAAAATGACATCTGAAAATCTGCAAGTATTTCTGTGTGGATAAGAAACAAGGAAAAGGGCGCACTGGTGTCACTGGAGCACTGAGCGCAAATGGATAAACAGGATTTTCGTCTTTTTCAGCCTACGAAGCACAGCGTTACGATGATACATTGTCATAATTGGTTTCAACTGGCCTAAAACTTCGCGGCCAAAAGCGACAGATCGCAACTACACCATTTCCCGGCCAAGGTGTTCTCTTGGGCAACAGAAATAATCTGAGGGGGCATTCAACATGAGTCCAATCAATTAATTTGTTCCGTGCGTAGGAGCTGAAGCGTCCCACCTGCATCCCTATGACCTAGTGCGTCTGAGGTCCAATTGGCTGAAGGCAACGGGCTATACACGCACACCTACACCCCTGCACAAGTGACTGGCGTACCCACGGAACAAATTAATTGAGTAGACTCATGTTGAATGCCCCCTCAGATTATTTCTGTTGCCCAAGAGGACACCTTGGCCGGGAAATGGTATAGTGCACGGTATCTCGATTTAGTGCTCATAGATAGAGAGAAAAGTGCATTGGTGACCATGGAAGCGCTTTGGACAAAAATTTTGTCAGAATATTCCTACAAAACGTATATATCAGCAGATAAAGTGAAAATGATGTTCAATTAAAAGACAATGGCAAATTCAAAGGCATGCCATAATTCTGACGGCGTCACCGATTTTCGCTCGCGATGTTCCCAAGTTAGCAATTTGATTGATTTTACTCTGTAAACCTGACCACATCCCGATACATGCGAATAGAAGGTACCATGTGTCATGTTACTTACACACATATTACACACATGTTACTTACACACGATACAAACAAACCTAATGCCATGGTGAGCTTCACTACATTGATAAGTGAGTTATGAATGACCCGCTGTGCCCCCAACCTGAAGAGGCCTGAAAAGTAATCTCACGAAAGCTACGTGGTAGCCTCAAATTTATCTTGTCTTCGTGTGACGCGGTTTTGAGTAAATAGTCAATTTAATCCAAGATGAAAAACTCTGCCTCCCATTGTACCCCCAATCGGCTTTTCCAGGATATCACCTTGGTGAAATCCATGAAGAACCCGCCTAATGTGGTGAAACTAGTCATGGAAGCAGTGTGCATCATGCTGAGTGAGAAACCTGATAGAAGACCGGATGGAACGGGGCGAATGGTGGAAGAGTTTTGGGGTCCATCGTTAAAGTTGTTAGGTGACATTAAATTTTTGGATCGCTTGCGAAACTACAACATCGACCACATTCCCGCACCTGTTATGAAAAGGATTCGTGACAGTTACATTCCAAACTCGGATTTCGATCCAAAGATTGTGCGCAACGCAAGCACGGCTTGTGAGGGTTTATGCAAGTGGATAATTGCACTGGACAAGTACGATACAGTAGCGAAGATTGTGGCACCCAAGAAGGAGAAGCTCGCGGTCGCCGAGGCTGAGCTGCAAGTACAGGTGAGCAATGCACCGCGGAAAATTTCATTCTAAAATTTGCGGTTATTGTGCATGGTAGTTTTCATTGGTAGTCACTATTCCATTCAATCATATGATCGGATTTTGAGGGGTTTTATACTATCTCTGTGCCAGTCCATAAACTGTCCCACTAACCCATTTGGCTAGGGAAATAATCCGAGACACACGAACCTTTGAAGAGACAAATTTGTCTCATCTACGAGTGCTCGGGGATGGAGATCAACAAAATCTGGAGTATTTAAGCATCATTTTGGTTGCGGCGTGGCCATTTGAAAGAAACTGTTAAGTACTTACGCAGTTAGTTGCTAAAGTTGGCTTTAGGCTTCGAAACAGGTGATCCTTTTCGAGTTCATTCTCCCCATTTAAACTCACTGCAACATGCGGCCGATCGACACTGCTTCGGCTATTTTTCCGGCGACACCGTGGGCACATAATATTTACCGTTTCGAATCGATATCATGTAATTTTTTAAATTAGCTCCACACATACAGCATAAACTAAGAGCATTGCTTGTAGTTTCATTTCGCTTGATGCCACCTGTTTTAATCGTTGCGTACTGCAGGATTACTTAGATTACTTGCTTACTTACTTAGGGCATGTAGGCGTCGATAGGCGACGATCAGCCGGTCGGGATCCACGTCACGAGAGAGAAGGAACCGACACGATAACCGACACTGTCCACGGCCAACTGTTCGCATTAGTTAGTTTGCAACGTATTTCGCAAGTCAAATGACTGGTACAGGACCATCAGTTGGTTGAGGAGGACAATCAAAGCGCAATTGCTCTCAGCATCTCGATGTTTATTCACATACACACACATTTAAAACAATGTTGCGGATATGATCAGAGTGGTGTCCACCTGTGAGATTACTAACAAGACACAGCATTATTTTTGCCTTTTGCATAAGCTACTACCCGGTCATGTGATTAATGTCCTTGTGACTAACTAATTGTTCAGATGGCCAAGCTAGCCGAGAAGAAGGCGGCTCTGGATGAGGTACAGGCTAAATTCCAAGCGCTACAAGATCAACTGGATGAGATGCAGATGAAGAAACAGGATTTGGAGGATAACATAGAGTTGTGTAGCAAGAAGCTGGACAGAGCGGAAAAGCTCATCAGTGGACTAGGGGGAGAAAAGAGTCGGTGGACAGATGCCGCTGCAATGTTGAAAGTAAGTCACCTTCGGTGGTTTTCACAATGTGCCCAAAATATGCTGACCAGCAGGTATTATTTCCCTCATTTTGCGGATCGTCGTACTTGCGTTCCCTGGCTGCATTCAAGATGATTTTCACTGGAGATATACGAGTGCGGAATCCCAGCTGCTTCATTCACACAGGAACAGGCACTCACTGTCGATTTAGAGAAGAACACGGCTTCGACAGGTAGAGCTATCCAAGTTGGGAAACGAACCCGGAACTTATTGCGTCGCAATTTTGTGTTATATTCTGGGTATCTCTGCCTAAAGTCAGAACTAGTTTTCAAGTGCAATTATGGAGAGTGCAACATCTTATCTACTTTCGATATGATCCATTAATTGGAATAACCTAGGTTTTCTTCGAAGTTAAACCTCACAAAGGCAATGCGAAATCAAGAATTAGCATGATCGCTTTTAGCCACAGCACTGTAGACAAACGCTTGCACGGCCGTGCACTTACTAAGACAGTGAGTGTGTAAAGCACTGCCAGAATTTCGCTCGAACACACCGCCGGCGGTAGTTTATTCACCCGCGGTTTCAACCTCTGGATCAATGTAGGATGCGCGGCAGGTGGAGTAATGTGATCATAGACATGTGGAATACCTTGTCGTTCGCACCGTCCACGTGACGCAATGAAAGAAGAAAACTATTTTACAAATGGATTAGTTTTATTGGTTTTGGCTTCAAAAGTCTTCCATGATTGATTTTGTTTTTGTTTAAATTATTAGGTAGTTGTCAAGCTTCGAATTGGTGGCATAAGGTCCATCAACTGAATACTGTGGCCGCTAGTCCGTACGATTCCTATGTACTACTTCTGGGGATGGTTGGGAAGTAGGTCAATGTGTAACCAACTCGCAGTGGACAGTGGTCCTCTCCTTCGATTGTCTGATGAGTGTCCAGTCAGAATGGATTCAAAGAAAGAGCAACGCGGCTAATGGGATGCGAACCTGAACCATCGGGTCATTGGACGCAGCATACTTGGTCGTGCGTCTACGCCACTCAGCCGATTAATTGACGTTCTTCTTTCGTTTACAGTATTGAGCAAAATGAGGAAACTTATAGGTTCAAAACCTCCTTGTTAGTGAAAGTGAACCAACAATAGGTATTGGGGTGTTCGACCAATTAAAATGGGTGAAATTTTCGTTTCTCTGTCTCTGACGAATAAACTGCATTTTACTGAAGGACCGATGTTCTCAGCGGGTAGCACAGCCTTAAAGCAAAGGGTTGGTTCAGTAAACATTCATGAGGCCACTATGTTGAAATAAACTCGGACTACCCATGGATGAATTCAGCCACACAGTAAGCGGATTGAACAGCATCGAAATGTCCCGGCCCCGGTTGCTGTCTTATTGCTCAAGATAGCTGAGAGTAGCTACATGGTAATTGGCTGTCGCATTTGAGATTATATGTAGCAGGTAAAATGCACAGCGGACAACTCAACCTCAAGTTTTACATTGATTCAACCGTTCTGAGTAATCCAACTGTGGCCATGCCATTCTGGGATGATCGAGGGAGAGATAAGTTCACATTCCATTGTAGTAACCACACCTACTTTATAAACAGCTGTCCACGATGCAGGTAAGAGTGGTATCGCAACGAAAACCGTGGACATTAAACGGAAAGATCCGATCAAAGACAGGCATCTGACCTTTGCGCCATCACTATTCCATCAGCTGAAGAAAAGCTGTCTCCGAATGTCTTCCACAAGAGGAACATGTCAAGTGTATAAGTCCTCTGTCATAAGCCGCACTGTTTGAATCATTTAACATCCATATTTGGGCGTATCTAGCCAGAGTAGCCAGTATGGCTCACATAATGTTCGAGAAGTCATACATGACGGTGACCTCTGCATACTTATAGGGGACACTGCTTGAAATTCGAAAACGAACTCTTGCCGACATCGGTACCAGCATCCCACAAACTGGGGTGAATGCACTGCGGCAAGATGATATACTGATTTGCCTTTTGGCATTAGATTTCTTCACATGGTACCTTCAGATCAATCACACATCTCTAACTTAACAGTTCCAGAGTGATTGATATTCCATGATTGCTGTGGGCCTGTATCGACATTAATCCCTGGTAATATCAAACGAAAGTTGTGGAGAATTCGAGCACTATGAGTCTGAAGCTGCACAGACCAAGTTAGCGATCAACTGGCAATCAGGAACACGAGACAACCGCAAGTCATTGTAGGCTATCGTCATCTGCAATTTAGATATCCAGCGCCCATTCCCCAAAGTCGTGCTCGATAATTGCATTGCAAGGTCAACTGCTCTATGGAGGCGTAACGAAAAGGGCCGTTTCCGACCATTGACACCTTTATGACATGGGTTGTGTATCAAAAGTATGGGTTCACTACAGTAGTTGATTGCCCAGTGATACAACAGAAATCACTGAACAGGGTGATTCTGCGCAGTCTAATCTGGTACTTAGACTACTTAGCGTGGGTGTTAGTAAATCAACTCTCACGCGCGAACAACTGTTCGCAGACTGAACAGAGGGAAAAGATGGTAGCGGGGTGGTGATGCTTTGTTCATCATAAATGATGGTTCAAATCACGAGTGTCCTGTCACCTTCAATCTCGACTTCTTGGCTTTGCTGCGCATGGTACAACCAGTGTGTGCTGTTCGAGACAATTTCCAGCACTGCCAAACGAGAACGCAGTGACGCATGATCCGGGTTTGGCATCTGTCTTTTCTGCATTTCGATTCTCCTCGGCATCTTTTACTGTAGGGTAGAAAAATGATACAACCTTCATTTCTTGCATCGAATCTGTATTTGTTCCCATTTTAGTTATTGTTATCCACTTTCGCCTCAATACATGGTGATAACGGCATGAAATCTTCAAATCATGGAACAGTATCGAGTGTTCAGTGATGGCTGTATGGAGAAATAAAGACCCTATCCGAAACAAAGTAATCCTTGTGTTTGCCCCAATAATGTAAGAGTACAACACGACATTTCCAGCTTTTGTAAACAGACGGTATTTGTTATCGAAGCATTTCGATTTTCACCTCTAAATGCAGAATCGTTTCCACAATATTATTGGGGACGTGTTGCTCAGCGCTGGTGTGGTGGCGTACCTTGGACCGTACACAGTGGATTTCCGCACAGCGATTCAACAAGAATGGCACCAACTGTGTATCAAGCTGGAGGTCCCGTGTTCGGAAGTATTTCGCATTTCTGACACTCTTGGTGATCCGGTCAAAATCAGATCCTGGAACATCGCTGGTCTGCCCGTTGATAGTTTTTCCATCGACAACGGTATTATAGTGACGAGTTCGGATCGCTGGTCCCTCTGTATTGATCCACAAGGTTAGTGAATGTCCTCAACTGTCAAGGTCCTGTAAGTTTCACTGTGCTCCAAATTAAATAAGGTTCATAATGTGGCATTGGCGTTCTGCGTTGCAGAAAATACATTTCGTGAATAAGCTAACATTTTAGAGAGTGCCCGTACAACAAATCAGTTGGGTCAGGCACGTAAGGACGACGCCACTTCCGGGGAAGTTAAATATCTACCACTGCTTTACTGTCTGAGTCTGCCTCAGTATATAATGAGCGTATGGTTATGAGATAGGAGACGCAATCAATATAAGTGTTTTCGCGTGTTTTGTTTTAAGCATCTAGAGGAGCTGAAACGCTTTGTGTCCGAAAAAAGGAGGGATGGAGTCAGACTACCCTCCTGTTGAGCGAAAGCCAAAAAACTGCGAAAAACGTTCCTTGTGACTCGATTTGTCTTAGGGCATGTCAACTAAACGCATTACCTTATGTAGTTGAATTAGCAACTGGATAAATCACTTACGCAGTGTTTAAGATGCGGACTAGGTTGACGTCCGTCGGTAAAATAGTCAAATCCCTCAATTCACAACTTTCCGACAATGCGGATAAAGTACTATAATCGATGGATTGGGGTACGCATTTCCTATTTGCATTTGGGGTTGGATATTTGCCGCAATCAATTTGAGCATATCCCTACCAGTAGGTACTCCCAACGGGCCTGGCTTCCTCTCTAGCCCAGGGAAGTTGACAATTCAGTCCTATCCATCTGTATTGGCCAATGTGACTGGTCCCAACTTTGATGTGAAGTTTGTGCTTTTTCTAAATTTGCCGAACATGCTGGGCTACCTGGGTGGCGGAATACTACTGAGGGGTGCTGTTGAAGGTGGAAACCAGCTGCTAAACACTGATCGGCCGAAGTGGGTTACGTATCCATACCATGAAGATGGACACACTAATATTGATCATCCAACAGAACGTTGCAAACGTATCTCGTTGGATAATGACCTCTACCACGTGTGTGTTTGTCAATTAAAGATTGCGGTGATCAATGCCCAATAAGTAAGCACTTCAGTACAAACTATAGACCCAGTGCCGCAGTGACTCATTCTCGGTATTCAAACGACGAGTTATGGTAATCCGACGCTTTTCATGCACCCACAGAGAGAATGGCCACGGATAGAGAAAGTGTTAGGCCAGATAGAAGTGTCTAAAACTAAGACGCGCAGTTTGTGGCCGCATTACACTTAATGGTTTTATGTGAAATGGTTAACAGGAAATAACATCCCGCTATAACGAGCTCCGATCACCTGTTTCTTAGACCATCGATAATGCTGTATCCCAGAAAACCATATCAGTATATCGCATTGAGCCTTAAGGCGCATCATCGCACTTCGTAAGGTATGCTGGGAACTGATCACATCGATTTCATCAGGAGGGGACACTTTTATCAGCGATGTCAAGGCGAGACAACAGCTCAACATCACGTAATGACGAACAGTTAGGCAGTATTGTTAGAAGGCACATATTGAATCGGTCGCTGTATGCACTGCGTCCACTTGGCAACCGTCGCGTCAGTATGCATTGGAAAGTGCATCGTGTACAACATGATGCAGTATGGCTGTGACTCCGCGTGTCTCAACTTGTAGTGGTGTATCGGTTCCAGTTTCATTTACTAGGTCATTCAATGGTTCACCGATGTTGGCACTTTGGTGATCTGCAAGACTGCATCCTGCATATCACCGCACTGATGATGCCACTTCGCGTGGTGGCGAAATGTATGCAACCAAAGTGCGAGGCTCGGCGACCAAATAAACAACGGAATCAACGAACCGATCTGTCGGTATTCCATAACATTAAAGCTTCCTTTCTGATGGCATCAAGTAACACAACGATTGGGGGTGCATTTGGTCACAGTGACCACCAAGACTGAGTCCTTCGCTGACAGCATACTCTCATGTTCGCAATCGTACACTTTTGTCGGTGGTCCTCAGTGTCAATACGACAGGTGTTCAAAAAGAAACCGAACTTTTGTAATAACACGACAACCGATAGAGGGAGCTTGCTGCTGGTATTGAGTGCAAGTGGTGGCTTGCTTAGACAACAACCTACTGTTTGCTTCATTTCGCCATGACTGTTCGTTGGGGAGCTACAATTGCTGAAGTACACAAGCTGTTCACTGGATTAGCGCAAAAGAAGTCCAAATAGAGAAGACTTCTCCCTTCGACTTTTCTCATCAGGCCATTACAGTAATAAGAAAAACATACAACGTGGTAAACTGCTGTCAGCTACGCTGAGGACAGCTAGGCCAAGAGTTGAAAAGAGTCAGTAAGTCAGATCGATGCCTAGGTCGATTCACTTAGGGTAGGCCTCGCAGCCGATAGTAAGCAGTTAGTGTCCGACACCGAGTAAGTGCCGCGTGGCCAGGGTAGGAGAAGCACTTGTACAAGGGCTCGCTGCTTGCAAAGCTCGGGCTGGGTCAGTCTCAAGGCAACTACTTCAGCTATCTGCAAGAGACGCTTTCTGAGAGCGAGGCGAGACAGAGTGGATCTTAAAAGTGTCCGCTTGGGGTAAGATGTTTCATGAAAGCACTGTTTATATTTCTGCCTACGCCTCTTCTTAACGAGCCAGGGCAGTGCTCTGCTATCCGTTTTCACAGACGCCTGGTTGGGTGCCCGACGCATCTTGCACCACAGGTGCAAGTAAATTGAGACGACGTATGATTGAGACAAGACCGGGAGTCTGTCTTTGAGAGGCGGGGTAACAAAGTGTGCGGTCTGAGTAAGCACATGTGGGTAAGCGGCTGCGTCGGTTTTGGACATTGCGGCTGAGTCTCCTTTTCAGTAAGTCCAGGGCAAGATCTTCTTTGGATAGCACCAATAGAAACACATCCTTTATGATACGGTCAAGGTGGTTTTAGAGCGCAGACGAATCGTGGCATGCTTTTTGATCAACTGAACGGGATATCCATTCTCTGGCAATATCCTGAAGATACGATGTCTCTCTTCGTCCAGCGTCTCCGGGCTGCAGATTCTGACGGCATGATAATGTAAGCAACGCACTAAGTTCCGCTTGTGTTGCAAAAGCCCAAAAAGTGTGTGTATTGGCCCCTCCATGTCGGCTTCCGGAAAATGCTTCTCTCCAGAAAGCCGTCTTTCCGTCGCCTCAGCAACACGTCCAAAAAGTCCAGTCTTCCATCGGTTTCCATTTCACTGGTGAAATGCAACGCCGGATGTGCGCTGTTGAATTGAGCAAAGAGACGATAACCGTCTCAGTTTGAATCACAAACAATGTAAGTGTCATCCACATATCGCAGATGCGAATCAAACGTTCAGATAACCGGTCGCAAAGGTCCCCATTCAAGCTTCGCCGGGAAAACGTCAGCAAGTAGCGGTCCTAGGGGAGACCCCATCGCCACACCGTTAAGTTGCCTGTAATAGGTTCCATGAAATGGGAATTGCTTGTTAAAAGTGTATCGTAAAGTAATTTACTTTACTGCGCTTGGCGGAATCCTGAGGCCTATATTCTTAGTGGTAATGTAATCACAAAGTAACTTGAAGATTTCTAGCAGTGGGACGTTGGTGAATATTGATTCCACATCGAATGAAAGCATGAGTTTGCCACGCACATTCAGGTTATCTACGTGTTTCACGAATTTAAAAGTCTCTTAGTGGGTGAGTAGCAAGTTCCTTGCCCGATGGCTCCAACACTTCCACTAGCCACTTAGAGACGGAGTAGAAGGAGAAAGAGTACATGTCAATAATCGGGCGTTAGAGATACGTTTGGCTTGTGCACTTTCGGAACTCCGTATAGTCTGTGAGGATGCGACCCCACTGGAGTTAACCGATCAAGTAACCAGTCGGTTATCAGATTCACTTGTCTGAACTCCTTCAGCCGTTTGGCGATTTTGGCATCATCCTGTGCGGATTTATCCTTTTGAATTACATCGCGTGCAAATTTGCCCGGATCATTCAAAATAGTTATAAGCTTAGAAACGTAGTCAGACGTATTCATTAATACTCAACCAGAACTTTTGTCTGGTTTGGAAAGTATCAATTCGGGATTCACTCTCAGTTTGACGGCGTCTCTATGTTTCTTCGACAAGATGTCCGATACTTTCGGTTCACAACCTAAGCAATGTTGGACGAGGTGAACCAATGTGGTGTTGAAGGTATTACTCGCAAGCGAAGGCGTGGGCGTCAGTTCAGTTAGTGGATGCAACAGGTGTTCGAATTGGGTTTCGATATGAACTTGTCCATTGGCAGGTTGTGAAAAGCAAAAGTTTGCTCCAAGTGACAAACCCTCTACTTATAGCTGATTAAGTTGTACACTGGAGAAGTTGTGAACAAATCTTTCCGGGTGCTGCGGAAATTTTTCGTTCCGGTTGCGTCGGTAGCAACAATTTAGCGTATATTTTCTCTTTCGTCTTTTCACGACCTCCTTAGACGTATTGCTCAAATGAACCGCGTTGTATACTATCAAGCTCTTCAGCTGCTAAGCGGTAACGAAAACATAGCCGTTCTAGCTCCGGGATTGGCGATTGAACAGATTCCATCAAATTGCTATCGTGATCTTTAAGTGCTTTGGTCGTCGACCACACGTGAGACCTTCTAAGTGACTCCCAACAAGATCTCGGAAACTGGTTGCGCCCCAGACAATCACGTACAAACCGAATTTCAGTCTTCGCATTCGTAAGCGTCGCGTTAAACTACAGATATTTGTTGAAATCAGCAAACGATGGGGCTGCTTGCACATTTTCAACTCATGAATAATGCCCATGTAAACATAAGAAGTCTCTTTTCGATTATTCTCATCAGGCTATTGCAGTAATAAGAAAAAACACATCGTGTTAAGCTGGCTGTCAGCTACGCTGAGGAAAGCTAAGCCAACAACAGCAATTGTACTGCAGACGTTTCGTCACCAGCCGAGGTGACATCCACAGTGCCTCACTGATTAGAGTACAAGCTCGTTGAACAATGAACAATGATATATTACGGGTAAAAAAACGATTGCTTTACAAGTCCCGTAGGATGGTTGAA